AAACTGATCCTCTTAGCTGCCTGGAATTGGCACGCTCTCAGGAAAGTGTCACTTGAGTTGGTCAACCTCAGAGTGCCAGGCGAGATAGATTCTTCCTCCCCCTGCAGCCTCCTCCTCCCTCTCCCGGCTTCCCGTTGGAGGACTGCTGAGCTGAAGGCAAACAGTCCAAGCCCAGCACTCAGCCTTTTCCTCGATATACCTGCTCTTCAGACGATAGATCAATCCAAGGATCCAAACTGCCTGTTTGAGCAATTAGACTGAGCCTCTGCTGGGCAGGACTAAGGACCCCTGCTGAGAGCTGCCAGGCCTTTACAACTCCTGTCCAACAACTAGCAAAGACTTCAACACAAACACATGTTTGACCCCTGACCTCTGTGCAGTTGCTTTACTCCCACAAGCAGCTCTCCTGATTGAAAAAACCTACAGATAGTTGACTTTTTTGCGCTCCGTCTTTGCCTCTCCGGCTCTGCACATTCCTCCTCCCATCTTTCTCTTCTTGTCTCCAGATGTTGCTCTAAACCGTGTCACGCAGACAGTGACAGAGAGCATACGGGCCATGTTCATTCCACCAATTTATTGAAAACAGATACAACAGGAAGAGCTCATTCCTGTAGAGCAACACCCCCTCCCCCCGCCCCCCATAACTACAATCAATAAACAACGCCTGGTTTCAAAAGCATGCGTGGCATTTAATAGATTTCAATCAGAGCTCCTTCATTGTTTCTATCTAAAAAGGATGGCATAGTGTTTGGGCTAATATTTTAGAAGAAAGCACATTCATACAACAGTAGATACTGGTAACTGATAAATGTTTATGGAACTTAAATGAATAAAGAAATACTAAAGTGTAGTAGGTAAACAATAGTTTACCTGCTTTAGCTCAGCTGAGAGCCTTAACGGAGACTATGATTCAGATGCAGCTACAAAACAACTGTAGGCCTTGAACATTCTGGAAAACGATTCAACTGTCGGCCCCAACCTCAAAACGGACAAATTAATGAGCTCTGACTGTGGCGGTTTGCAAAAGCAGATGTATGCGACCCAAGCTGGCATCAAACACACAGTTCCATCCCGTTTTCTTTGCTCTGCTGAAGTTAAAAGACGGTTAAAATCATTAAGTGGTAATGTTAGATGTCAGCCCTGATTAAGATGGAAATAATAGATTCCCCAACATTCACCAATTTCTCCTGAGATTCTAGTAGATGTAAGCCTTTTTCTAGATACTGCAGGGTCTTGTCATTCGAGGGCCCAAAAACAATCATAGGCAACATCAGCCTGAATAAACGATCCCCTCTTCATTGGCCAATCTCGTTTCCCCATGACGGGCGAGGCCTGTCCTCGCTGTCAGCACCCCGGCTGAGTTAAGGAGCATCAAATGATTTTTCTCAACATGGAGCTGGCACAACACATTATCCATGCAGTTTGCCTGCAAGCCACAGTCAACATCACTCAGCTAAATTACATGTTAATCATTTTTCATGACGGCAAAGCAAACCAACTGCGTGAAAAGTTCGGACGGAAAGCGGCTGTGCTGCATAATTAAAACGAGCGGCACTTAGCAGACGATGTTCAGATATTTGAGCCGCAGCATAAAGATGTTTATGAAGTTTATGAAGCAGATGTCCCAGTTAATAAGAAAGAGCTTGATTAGGATGCTCAAAGGAATACTTGATCCCGGTCCAGTTGGCCATTTGGAGTGAATCCCATAAGAAGACGTGCTTTGAACTTTGAGCGTGATAGAGAGCTGAAATAGAATAAGTTTTCATTGATTTGTTTTGGGGTTTTTTCATTACATCCATGTTGATCTGTTTATTGTTTTTAACTGGAAGATTTGTGTTTATTACAACTTGGATCTTTTCTACTAAATGCACACTATAATCACCAAAAGTATTCCCTAAACCTTTTAGATAATGGAAATCAGGCGGTCCAATCCCTTCCATGGGTGTAGAAAACGCAGCTTGTCTGCATGCAGACTGTTTCTACAAACAGTAATGAAAGGATATTTGTGAAAAGAGCTTTGAATGCTTCAGCACGCTGAAAGATTTTGGACGATTATACGCTCCCAACTTGGTGGGAACAGATTGGAGACGGCCCCTTTCTTCCTCCAACATGAGTGAGCACCAGAGCTCAAAGCAGCTCCAGTGAGACGTGGATGGGTTTGGTGGGGATGAGCTTGACTGATAGAACACCTTTGGGATGAATTAGAACCAGGTATGGAAGTATGATAAAAAAAATGCAGTACAACCACAAAACAAAGAGGCCTTATCAAAGGTCACTAAACTGAATCCAGTTTGTATCTATGTGAGCACCAAATAACTCTCAGGTGTGTTTGAAAAAATGGAATTTCTCATACGATATCATGCAGCGGACCAGAGATTGTGTTTCTACCCAGCATTGTTGGAAGAATTCCCAGGCTAAACAGGTCAGTCGGTGTCCAAAGGCGACACATTTGTGCAGTACATGCTGAACATAACTTCTGTTAATGCCTGAAAACAGCTCTAGTATTCGTCGTCGTGCACACACTTTTCCGAAGCATCGAGTGATTATTTTTGCTTCTGGGTGCAGATCAAGACACTAATCTTTTCTAACTGGTGGAATGTTTACCATCTGATGGCCGTATCTGCACCAGCACTTAATTTAGGGTGTACGCTGTTATCTAAAAAAGTTAGGTGATCTAAGAAAAATATCTAAGTGGAGGGATCAGTCTGTGAGCTTCTCACAGGAACATTCAGCCCCGCATTTTCTTTTGTTAGTTGCTTCTTCGGTGACTCCTGATTTCTATTGTCTGGGAAATGACAGCAGAGCTGCAATTATGTTCGTGATTCAATCCACTTAAACATGTCATCGTTTCTGAGTGAAAAACTGACATTAGGACCAACAAGAGTCGGCCATTTCAACTCACAAGAAATCAAAACAAGATGGGTTTGTCCTCAGTTTCTGACAGTTGAACAATTTATTAACTTATCAAGAGTTACATTAGTTTGTTGAAAGAGCTACTTTAAACAAACTGCAGCCCACTGTACTGGAAGTGAGCCAAGTCACTAAACACTACATAACAGAGCTGTCAGAGTGATCTATGCTGCATGGAGAGTAAAATGACTGCTTTTTATGATGTGACGTGCAAGTCATGGCATGGTCAGCGAGGACAGCTTGTGGTGATGATAACTAAATAAAGCAAAACACATGTTTTAGAGCAGGAAATGTGCCGGTAAAAATCCCTCCTGGAGCATGAAAATGAATAAAACAGTCCATAACTTTTATCCCCACAACAGCAAAAAGTTTGCAGGTTTGGCCAGATGCAATTGAAAATGATCACTTACTTGATAGAAAACGAGCTACGGCCTGAAATGTACTGCTTTGTGGCAACTTTACAAAGATGGGTTGATGGAGACGAAGGGGTTAAGGAGGACTTCAGCTCCTATAAGTCGGGAAGAGAGAGAAGAGAATCTGTCAAACATGCAGAGTGACATAAACTGCCACTAATTACAGAACATTTTGGACTTTTTAATCTGAATACGACGCCTCTCTCATTCATGCTCTATCTTAGGAAACTGTTATAACACTTCAAGGATTTTTTTTCCTCCTCAAGGCTATTAGAAGACAGTTTTGATCAAACCGGAGAAAAAAAAATAACATGCAAATGTATCCGGTCACAAACCAGAGGTAGACTGGACTCATTCAGAGAGGTCACAGCATGCCAGGAGAGACTTTTCGTTGAGTTAGTTTAAAGCTCAGGGGGGGTTTAGGGAAATCACTCCCTGGGCAGACAGTAAACAACCCGAAGCTTCGGACACTGAATATTTCACATATGAAAATAATGCAGAAACAGAAAATATTTCAAGGAATAAGAAAACTAATCTTAGCTGGAGAAGTGTTCTGCTGTTCTCTGGGTGTTTCCTTACGCTCTGCTTGTTTTTCCATAATGCAGTCTCAACAGTTTTTCTGCTTCTGTGGTAGAAATCACACAATGACCGATACTGATTGCTTTATTTTCTCAGTGTGTACCCCCCTCCTGCGTTTGTTATTGCAGAACAGGAGGATATACCGCACAGGGGGCCGATGCTGAGCCTGCACAATCTGAACACTTTCTCTCTAATAATTTGAAATCCTGTGGGGCTGATGAGGGGCAGGGGCATACATTAGGGAAGGAGCGCGGGGTCTGGATGATTGGGCCACAGGGTGGGGGCTCGGGGATGCCTTGCTAAGTGCCAGATCACCCGGTCTGCTGAGGTTATGTGAAAGGTGAGCGGAGCTGCAGACGGAGGCAGGTATGCAGTCTGGCAAGCACGTGCTGGCCCTCTTGACGGATATGTGTACCGAACTCTGCATTTTTAACAGACCAAACAGTAAAACAATACCTCCAATACCTCTGCACTGACACGTGAGCATGCGGCCACACAGTTAGATGCTGCCCTGCAGTACAGGTTGCTACACACCACAGCTGAGGAATGTTTTATCCCTGTGGCCTGTGGGGGGTATCAATAATGGCGTCCACATACATGCCATTGATGCCGGTGGTTCAAACCACCAGATAACACACATAAAAGACTCAAGGGAAGCTTTTTCCCTCCCTCCCTTGTGGAAATGTTCATACATGCTCGTGTGGAGAAATGCACCCAATATCAGGCTACAAATGCAGCCCACTTAAACTTCCTTTCCTCTGGCATGATGGAAAAGAACGCCTTTTCCCCCTTTAGCGAGATCCCACTGCAGAAAGCAGCCCTCAGAAACGATCACGGCTCAAACAGCTGAATGTTTGAGCAGCACTCTCGTGAGACAAGCCGTAGAGGTCCCTCATATTGGGGCTCTCCGCTTACATTATGCATACGGAGGAGGGTGTGACTTGCTGGCTCTTTTTCCGCCTGTATAAAACGAGAAGTTCGCGCAAAAGAAAATACAGATGGAGAAGGCTAGCCGGCTCGCTGTGTCACAGAGAGTCCCCCTTAAACCTATGTGACAACTCGCATACTGTCCCTTTTGTGACCAGCTTTATCAGCACAATGCCCGCTCTCTGCGCGCTTTGTCTTGCCGTCGCGCTGGCTGCTTTCGCCCGGCTCGCTGGCACGGTGGGACCGGTGGTCCGATGCGAGCCGTGCGACGCCAGCGCGCTGCTCCAGTGCAAGCCGCTGCCCAAGGACTGCGTGGAGCGGCTGAAGGAGCCCGGCTGCGGCTGCTGCATGACGTGCGCCCTCGGCGAGGGACAGGCGTGTGGAGTGTACACGGCGCGCTGCGGCTCCGGCTTGAGCTGCCAGTTCCAGCCCGGAGAGAGCCGGCCCCTGCAGGCTCTGCTGGACGGCCGGGGAGTGTGCTCCAGCGCCGCGGCCAAAAAGCTCAACGGCATTCTCATACCGACCCCGAAACAAGGTAAAAAAAAAAAAAAAAAAGCCCCGCGTGCTTTTTTTTTTTGCTTTAATACTTATTTGTTGCTGTGTGTTTTTGGGGGGGGGGTTTGACAGGCAACCTCTCCATGAGGCGCTGCTGTTTGGGGTTGGGGGGTGTTTCCTGCCGTGGTGCGTCATGTTGATAGTGGATACTGGGATCTGCTCAAAGGTGAAAAGATATATCTATGTGTCGCTACCTTCTGCAACATCAAACCAAATCCTTAGCCCGAATTCCACAAAGCCCCTCAGGTCACAGGTTCAAACGGGGCTGGACGGCGCACTCCTGGCGCGCACGGGTTGAAGCAGTTGCGCGTAAAACCCGAGTTCGTTTTTCAAAATACGGTGTGTGTCCCGATAGTTTTCTCGCACGGTTGACCATGCTGCTCCTGCTTCTTCCGCGCACACGCACGCACAGTCTGGCTCCTGCGTGCCTGTAGTTGAGGAATGCCACATCCGTACAAACTACAAGCGCGCAGTGTTTTTTCTCAGACGCTCGGCGCAGTGTCTCCGGTTCAGGCGTGAGCCGGGACACCTCAGGTGTGTGAAACACACCCGTTATCAGTGAGCACGACACCGAGGGGCGTCCTGTGCGTGGTGTTTCGTGTGAATGGATGCAAGGTGCGCACACTGGTCAAACGGCACACATAACACCTTTGTGTGAATACACACAGTTGTGTGTTCAGGCACTGCTGATGGGAGGCCTCCAGGTGCCTCTGTGTGTTCTCTCCTCTCTGGACGTTTGGTCTGGCCTCAGTAATGTGTTGTGTGCAGGCTTGAGCAGTCACATTGCCATACATGCACACTCTGACTGGTCATTTCTTGACCTCTTGCCCTTTTCTGTGTTATTTTAAGATGCTCGCCGGTACAGCCTGTGATATACTGGTAATGGTGAAGATTTGGGATTATCTGAACAGATGCAGTGAGAAATAGCAGAGGCTGCTCACGTCCAGTATCTCCACAGCTGGAGATGAGGGGGAAAGATAGACTCGATCTCAAGCGCCCCTGTTGGTCAGAGCTGCTCATTACAGCCCACTCCCATCAGCTCCGAGAACCAGAGCAGCTTGTTCCACACTTTGGGCAGCTGTTGTGTACTCCTGTGCTATTCTGCAAACAAATTGTCAAACGCATTTATCCCAAACTCTCCTGACCTAACAGAGAGGCTTTATAGCCTTTTAGATTGATCATAAAAATCGAGCAGGGCTCATTATTTTTGCTCCTCGGTTATGGACGTTATGGGCCGACTGCTTCGGGTTAAAGAGCAGTTTCAGACTCTGCTGACATCTGTGTTGTTGTTCCCAGCTCTGCTGTTGGCGGAGCCCCACCACGTCACTAATTGATCAGGTGGCCACAGAGAGAGGGTAGCGCTGCCAGCCCGCCTGCCCACATGAGCTACACGCCTACGTGCCCGCCCGCCGCCCTCACCGCAGCGCGCACACTCTAAATCTGCTTCCAGTTAAAAGTTAAAACTGCTCGGGCGTGTTAGTCGCTGCATGAGTATTCCCATGGTGCCTCTGCCCTGTCCCGGGCGCATTTCTCCGGGCCTGATTGCCCCCCTTTTTGACGGCGGAGGTGTGTTCAGGTGTCAGATGAATATAAAGGAGGAGTTCTTCTCGGGCAGGTGGTCTCTGCTTTAGCAGTCTGACAGTAAACGTTGCAAGTTCTCCAGGGTATTAATACCTGCTTTATCTTCAGCTTCACCTGCACAAACCTTCCCCCAGCCATCCATTTACAGGCTCACACATATGCTCAACATTTCTGCTCTGAAGCCTTAAAATGACTTGTTTACACTCGGCTCTTCCTCTTGTGCTGCATACCGTGGAAATTTGTGGATTTGTAGTCGTCATGTTTCTGTTTATTACTTGGCTTCATGTCTGGCTCCAAACAGCCCTGAAGGCAATGATATAACTTTATTTAGTATGTGTCAAACCCGCCTATCCTACGCAGTCAACAATTCCCTGGAAGACTGAGTGAAACATTAGCAGGTACTGATCATTTATTTGCGTGATTTAAGTGATTTAAAGACCTTTTCGCAATCTTGATTTATTATCTAGATTCAACAAACTTTTAAACAGGCCGAAGTTTTCTAACACAAAACCAAACACTAAAAAAAGCAATTAGTATCCAAATCTAGCTGTTTCGTTCAGCCCACAAAAAACAGACGCTGACCCTGATGTACTTTCTTCACACAGAGAATACTGGAAATCAGGTTGAAGACGGAGCCAACGGGACCCAGACTCTGACGGCGATGCCCAGCGTGGTGACTGTGAAGGGTGGGCAGAGTCAGGGGCCCACGGACACGAGGTCTCCGCTGCACAACAAACTCATCGAGAAGGACGAGAAAAAGAAAACGCAAAGCTACAAGGTGGACCTGTCGGGAGGAACCAACATGGACATGCACAACTTCTCCCTGGAGAACAAGAGGGAGTCTGAGTATGTAAGTCACACCCAGAGGCACTGAAGTATCCGCGTAAAGACTTGCTCAGAGGTTTCTGAGGGTATAGTGGAGTTCAGGAGATCCACAGAGGATCATTATCTGTTACACAGCTGCTTCACACATTGGAGGGAGAAGGGTTTCTGGGTCATGCCTTTCCTCTGTTGAAATGCACATAAATTGGTCATATTGTTTCAGGAAATTCAAAATGCTTCAGATTTAGCTGAACTTTGCATTCCAGGTGACAGGTCACTCATGCTGGTGGTGGAATCATGGGATTAGATTGTGCTTTTCAGGTTCTATTATAGATAGCTGGTCTATAAAAACCTCAAATAGCTGACATCATTTCTGCTGCATTCCTGCCTCCGCATTTCATTCATTTTCATATCGTCTGTCATGCTCCAGCGTCACATGATTTAGGATTTACTGTCAGATCTTTATCTTGCTGTCATTGATCAGTTATGAATACTTCACCAAAGTCTGAAACAAGGCTTTAGCTCCAGATTCATTTTGGCAACTGGCAGTTGCACAAACTTTGTGTCAAATAAACAGGAAAGCTTCCCATGCGGATCTTTTCCTTCATGTTCCTGTATCTGCTTTAACAGATATTTACTTTAAAATCAGCAGAGAATGGCACAGTTTTTTCTTATTCCATTTTTACTCCCAGCCACAGTTCACGATCCCTGTATCAAAAAGCTGACGCAGAGCTTCTTTTAGCTTCCGCTATGTCATCCGGCCACTTTTAAGATACAAATTCACATTTGAATCACATAAAGTGAGTCTTTTAATGTGCCAAAAGGCACATATTGAAGAACATGTCCTGAAGGTTAGCGTGTTATGTTTTCAGGTAGATAGTTAGGATTAGTCAGTTTGTCCCTATTCTATCTGACAAGTTAGAACAGGTAAGTACTGGCTGGATAAGATTATATTTAATGATGCATTTAATCCTGAGAAAATAAGGAGTTCTTAGGTGCAACATAAGAGTCCTGGATTTGCTAATAATCGCAACACACGATCAATGTAAACCATCCAGCTAAGTCTGAAAGCCAAAACAAAAAAATATTTGACTTTTTAATCAAACTATTTATTAGTAATAGATGGTAAAGGCCAATATTGCAAACAGGGTTCCCTCTGTGTGAGCCGGCCCATCACAGGTAGAATATGACTCATCCTCACTGACTCCTGCCTGTAAGTTGTGCACAATCCACATCGCAAGTAAGAAGCCAAGAGTTGGCTGAGGTGTCTGAAACTGCATCTGTCTACACGTTTTTCTTCCCAGTTAGCTAATTCACGTGGTGCACAGTCTGAACCCTTTTGTAGCCAGCGCAAAGAAAAAATCCAAACAAAGTATAGTGTTACTTTTCCAATATATTGTGTAGTTGATTTAGGAGAACTTACCTTACAGAGTAACTTGTGGACATTTCAAAAGCATCCATGATGAGCTCTGATCCTGCACAAAAGTCAAAGCAGTATTTGATCTAGTGTTATTTCATAAAAACTGGAACAATGCTAATAAATTATGTAGTGAGGTAATACTTTTGCTAATTGGACCCAAACTACATATGCGAATGAGTCAAAGCCAAACAGTGATTGCATGTGTACAGATGTGTCCTGACTTCTGTGTTGGAAAGCCATCTCCCCAGCACAGCCACGTACTTACTCAGGCCCGCGTTGTTACCGCAGGGACCCAAACAGAGAGATTAATGATGAACATTTGCCGTACAGACACATAGATTCATTCCCAAGATCTGCTGCCTGCAGCCTGAACAAAGCCCGAGTGGCTCTCTGTTCCAACTGGGCCGAACGCAGCCGGCAAAAATGCGACTCATTGTCAGCCCGTGGGTAGGTGGTATGCATGTGGAGCCTCATGCACGTGAGGCAAAAACACAAGGTACAAACAGTGCTGCACTCTGCAATTTGTGGCCAAAAACTCCACGGCGAAGCTTTACCTTCTTTGCAATTGTTTGGAAAGGATCCGTTTTGATTACAAATATTTTGTGACAGAGATTAACCCTTCTTTTAGTGGTGGTGTGGGGGGGGGTAACCTTCTCAACTCAGACCTACCAGTGGGTTTATTTCAGCAGATATCCTAAACCCTATTTAGGACTTTAGTAAAAACATGTTTTTTGCACAAAAGCATTTAAAGGGATTCCTCAAACATACAACGTCTGTCTTGGAGCATAAACATTAGATTGTTATGCTTTTTTAAAGTTTTTTTTTTCAAAGCTTACCTGATGATGAGATTAGTGGGACATTTAGGCTTAAGCTGAGCAAACAACACTGGTGTTATTCATGTCTCGCTGCCTACAGGCGGGTGCTCAGTATTTAAGTGTTTTTGCTGTGTTGCTAGGGGCCGTGTCGGCGGGAGATGGAGAGCATCCTGAACAGCCTTAAGATCAACAATGTGCTCAACCCGAGAGGCTTACGCATACCCAACTGTGACAGAAAGGGCTTCTACAAGAAAAAACAGGTGAATGTCTCTTTGTGGTTTCATCTCTGTCCCCTCACACACACACACATACACTCACACACACACACCTGCGGACATGCAGATAGACCCACCACATGCCTGAACACTTCCAAAGAATCCTCAGACTCATCCCAACCACCCACAGATGTACAATCCTCTCTTTTTTTGCAGCTCAGGTTGCCTTGACAGCCACATCAACACTATATTATCAGAATGGCTAATAAGCATGTATTACTCTGGTAAACGCTCTGCAGCCGTCTGACTCATGCCTCACAGGAAATGAAGTCGGTCAGGTGTGTTTGTGGGTGTGTGGTGTGGGAGAGTGCAGGGGGGGTAGGATGTAAGAATGCGGTCTGGGCGTGTGTGTGGCACGGTAGATGTGGCAGAGGGGGGTGTATGTGTGCCGCTTGTTTGATGGCGGTAGTGTCGGTGGGGGCGAGTAGGTGTGGGGTGCCGTTGGTGAGGTAAAGAAAACAAACAGGCTGTCACTGGTTTAGTTTTTCTGGTCCGCGGTGCAGCAGGCCGGGGCCACCCATAGCCTGCTCGCCGGAGACACGAGGAACAACACAAAAAGAGAGGCTGCTAAGCTCCAGACTCGCCGGGCGGGTGACATGCGCTGACCTGAGCGCAGGAGGGGCCAGACAAAGGAAGGTGATAGATGAAGGCAGGTAGGGCATTGCTAAGATACACACACGGCGTCTAAGTAAACACCACCATCCTTTTTTTTTTATGAGACTGGGAGTCTCATCGGGGGGATTTTACAAAACTAGAGTCCATTCTGAGAAACGTGTGACTCACCGAAAAAACCCCCACATGCACAATTACTCAACTCAGACACCCACAGTCCAAAATCCCCCTCTAGCCCCACGTTTCTTTTAATTCTTTGTTATTAAAGCCAAACTTCTTCCTTGTTCCTTTTTCCTGGATTTGATCAGGAAACGTCAGCAGGCAGAGGGACACTTTTGGGCCGGGATGGGGGGGGTTAAAGCCATCCGAGGGGATGTTCCTTCATGGTGTGTTGCAGAGATATATGACCGGAAACACAGCCAAGAGAAGAGTGTGTGAACCGTCTAGGGTGACAATACTGTGAAAAGAAGGGAGCCGGGGACTTTAAGGATGGATGGAGGACTAAAGAAGAAGAATCACAACTGTACACCAGATATTCTGCTTCTTCCGATCTTTTGAAATGGCTTATTCACTGACTGTTCATGGATCTATGCTGTTATATTGTCCTCTAATGTGCAGTACCATGAATCAAATGGGGCTTTCCGAGTTATTTCAGGAATGATGCTCTACCAGGAAGTATAGGAGCAATTCTAAGCTCCTTTTGTGAATTCTAAGTAATTGTAGGGGATCAGGCTGACAGTGGATTGCATAACGTTTCGCAAATGAAGTCATGCACAAGAAGAAAAGGAGCAGGAAACTTCCGAGCTTCTGTAGTTTCACGTGTTGGGTTTTCGCCAATGTTTTTTAAACACGTCGGAAAACTGAAAAATAATGTTTTTGCACAAAAACGAGAAGATAATTCTCAATTTTTTATAATGATTTGAGTCTTTACACTGAAAAAAATTAAAAACACCTCTGGTTTGGTCATATCTGATGGAACAAACCTAAACTTTATGACTGATTGTTTTTTTTTTCTTTATAAAACAACATAAATCCAGTACTACTGGCATAAAATAGCATGAAATTCTTTAGTTAATCTCCCCTATCGGGACGAAGTACGCGGTTTTCCTTTCAACCGCATTTCAAAAGAGATAAGACAAATATGCATTCCATCCATTGAAACGTGTCAAAAAAGACAAAAATGCTAAACAAATAGTAACTTTTAGCTTATAGGCAGCTCTTTCTTAGTTTTTTACACCCCATTTTGCCTCTCTCCTCCCCACTGCCTTTTTTTATATCTGAAGTACTTAATAATCCTTGCTTTCGGAGAGCATGTGAGTCCAAACCTCAGAACACACCATGTTGATTCAATAAAAACTGAAAAATACTGATGTGACAGTTTTGTTGTCATATACTTTTCGTGGTATGCTGAATCTCTCTCCTGCCACAGGGAAAAGTTTGTGAACAGTCACCTCAAACATGGCGTCAGCTTGTCGGTTATAAACACCAAAGACAAATCCTCTTAATTCCTCTGTCACGTTTCAGCTTCTGGGCTTCGTTATTGCCAGATCCAGATGTTTTCTCTGTGAGTTTTTGGCAACAAGTTTTGCTGCTAATTCATATTTACTTCACACATGATTGATGTTACCATTGTACCTTCAAGCCAAATGGAAAATGGCATTTTTATAATTGGTCATAACCCAAAAAAAAAAAAACATCAGTGGTCCTGTGATGGACTGAACTTGACCTTTGATAGCCTGGACCTTACTCAGAAGAACCAGGTATGGAAAAAAGATGTTCAGTTAATGTCACATCTAATTACAGTTTTAAACTAATATGGGGCTCTGACAGTAACAGCAAAAAGCTCCCGTTAAATTTTTCTGCATGGAAACAAAAGTATTAGTCCATATTAGTCTATATTATGAAGCCTGATTAATGATGATAGTAGAGTCTATTATAGTCCCAAGAGAAAGTGTTGGATCTTCTGTTAGAGAGCAGGATTACCAATTAGAAATGGTTTCTCACAATTAGAAACACTTGAAATGTGTCACATGGTTTCATTATTTTCTCAGAGTGAGAAATGGCCTTAACTCTGATCAGTTTGCTCACGTTGAAGAGTACGATCATCTGTCACCAACCTTAGATGATTTTGAGACGGCACAGATCCGTGGAGCCGTGCAGCAGTTTGGGGAGAGAAGCACAGCCATTTAAAAATAGTCCAGTGTGCTTCTGTTTGTTGTTTAGTAGACACGCCTGGCTGAAGAAAAGCAAGAAAAATCCTGGAAAAGCAAAGCTGTTGGTTGGCTGCAATGTTGACGGTCACAAAATGACTAGAAACTTGAATGAGTTGATTAATTAACATAATTTAGATTGCATTTGATTAAAACTTTTGTAGTACTTGTTTGGATGGAGTTCATGCTAAAATAAACACCTACTGAAAAGCAACACAAATAAGGATTGAGAGGCATGCTATAATACAAAGTGTCAGTTTTACACAATTTAACTATCAAAAACCAATTTCCAAATAACAGTAATTTCAAATATTTCATTTTAAGTACATCAAATAACATGACCCTAGAATAAGTAGTGAGGGGTTTTCTATCTAGAATACTTAACTAGCTTTATCAGATGATTTGTATTCAAATAAAATATTTAAAAAAACAACAAGGAAAAGGTTGCAAACCTGTTTGTGTGGTTTTCTGTTTGCTAGTAATATGAGTGGCCTGCGAGAGAAGCCGAGCTACAGTACAGAGAAAAATATTTTTAGCTGCAGTTATATGAATTGGCTCAGTATCCCAGTTCAGGCCATGCATTCCCTACACTGACCCACTCATTACACCCCTCTAAGTCTCACTCTTTCTCTCTTATTCATCATTTCGTCCACCCATCATTACCCTCATTGTGCCCTGCCTGCAGTCATGCACCCGTCTTTTGTCCTGCCTGCCCGCTCCATCATTCTGTTCATCCTGCCCTTCCGCCCACCTGGCTTCTCCTTCCTTGTTTGGCCAGGAATCACCCCGCAGAGGGTTGTGAATGGGACGGCAGTGTCTGCGTCTCCCTGTGCACTCTTTTAGAGTATAGTGTGTGTGTTGAGAGGAAGAGGAGGAGGCCGTGGGTTGAGGATGTGAGCCAGGTGCCTGTGTACCCTTGTGCCTCCTCCCTCTCTGGGTGCTGGCAGTGCCAGGCCCATAAGGGCTGACTTATTGAGCGTGACTCAGAAGGATCTGTGGAAACGTACACACTGACCACAATGGCTTTATAATAAGCGACCAACCTTCGGGAACCCAGACAGCTATTTTCACTCTGTCTCTGCCGACTTTTCTGTCCATGAATTTCTGGTCCAGTTCTCCTTCCTCCCCATTTGAGGAAATAAACTTTTTTTTTTTTTTTTAAATGACTCTGACATAATATGTAGAGCAAAAGTTTGATATCACACGGCGGCTAAAAATGCTAAATTTGATGCATTTCGTCTGCAGGAGGACTTTTTTAGTAAATGGACAATCTTTGTGATGACAAACTATTAAATGAGATGTAGTTTTGCACATTCGCTAGTTCATGTGACCATGTTATCATTCAGCACAAGCTTTCATCGTATGGGGCATTCTAAGTCCAATAAAACTTTTTATCCTCTAATTATGATTTAACTAGACTTATGAAATAAGCAGCTTAAGAAGTTAAACCTTTGTTGTTTGTTGTAAATTGTTTTCTTTAGCTTAATATTTTATTACATTTGAACAACAACTGCACTGAAAAGTAAATCCATATTTATTGCATTTTTAATTGATAAATAGGATGAAAAGGGGAAATCCTAACAGGCAAGTTTTTATGATGCAAGTTTATTAATAGCTAAATAGTGGACGAATAAGATAATAGCAATGCTGTAATTTCAGATATGTTTGCTTGTAAAACGATAACAAAGAATGCAAGCCACAACATCTTATTTTTACTCGGAGTGTACAGCATCCGACTTAGCAGCACAAACAAAAACAACACTGTGGGCAAGTAAACAGCCCATTCACAAACACTGCTGCTCCAACACGGGCTCACGGACGTTTGGAAAACCATCACAAACTTTAATCTACTAAATCATGTCCAGCATGAGTGTGGCGACACACTCACAACCCAACAGAGGAGTATGGACTCACAGCTTTTGGTCAGTCTGTTACAAAAATAACAACAACAAAAAAAGCAGAAAATTTGGAGGAGAGAACACAGAAATGTCTAAATCTGTCTCTAATCCCATTTTGTGCTTTCTAACTTACTGTAGTTCAAAAGTTGATATTATTTCCATTAAATCTTTGATTAAACATCATTAATAAATCATGTTATTACTAAGCAACAATAAAAAACACTTTGTTATGATTAGGATTCCATCATTGGCATAATTTAAACTGATGATTGACATCTACTTTATCTGGCTTGATAAGTGACTATCCCCCTTCTTCCTAACATTGAATTGGACTTAGATCCATCTGAACAAAAACAAAAGATTTTCTTAGAACTGTTCATGCATTCAGAGTTGAGAACATCGCAGTAGATGTCATTGTGTCCAAGTAAAAGATGGAACAGAGAAAACACACTTTTTAAGCCCAATTTAAATACGTTAGTGCGTAAGATTTGCACTTGTAACGCTTTCATGTAAAAATCTCAAAGTGTTTGATGGAAGTGAAGCACCTATTGAGGTCTGCATCGTCAGAATTCCTGGTTTTCCCCGTCATTTCTCTGTGGTTACTCCGGCTTACTTAGACATCCACAAACATGCATTTTAGGTTAATTAGCGACTTTAAATTAGCCGTAGGAACAAGCATGAGTGTGCATGGGTCCCGCCTCTCGCCTAATTACAGCTGGGATGGGCCCCAGCCCTCCTGTGGCCCCGTTTGCAATTGGTAGGCATAGAAAATGGACAGATAGATTTCATATTTGTGTAAAATGTCCTTAACCCACAAACAGCAATGAAAATATGCAAAAGGAGCTTGAACATTTCTCATACTGGATGTTTTCATTCTAAAATTGA